CAACCTGCTTATGGTTTATGAGACACAAGAAGTCACAGTTATACTGTTCCACAGGAATTTTGCTGAAAGTATAAGGACTAGAAGAGAAACCGTTTGGCCTAGTGGTTAAAGCACAAGGCTAAAAACCAAGAGTGTGTGAGTTCTAGCCCCGCTTTAAGGGCTAGAATAGTCTGTATGACCCTGGAGGAATATTTGTCCTCCCTCAGGATCAGGGGTGGGTTTCTCACCCCGTTCCAACCGGTTCGGTTGGAACGAGGCCGGCGGCGTCCTCGCGCATGCGTACTAGCGTCTGTGCGATGCTCCAGCTGCTCCTGGAGGATCGCGCAGGCGCTGTATGCATCCTGCGCATGCGTGGAAGCGCAGAATTCGTCAAAACCGGGTAAGGAGCGGGCGTGGGCGCGGGGGAGGGGCTTCGCCGTTCCCGGAAGTTACTTACTTCCGGGTTCGGCGACCAACCAGTTCGCAGGGACCGCCGCGAACCGGTTGAAACCCACCCCTGGGCTCCACCCTCATCTATTCTCTGCCTCCCAAGTCCCAATTGATTGGGAGGAAATGGGGATTTTGTAGTATCCTTCCCTTGCCACACCCACCAAGCCACACCCACCAAGTCACGCCCACAGAACTGGTAGTAAAAAATTTTTGAATCCCACTACTGCTTAGAAGCAGTGTCAATCACAGGCTCTGAGAATAAGGTCAATTGTTTGCTAGAAACTGTAATGGTTTGCGGGTATGGCCTTGGCATAATACAAGAGGAAGAGCCTGGACAACTGTCATGCAAACAATATCTCAGCCCACAGACGAAAATAGGGTGTGGCAAGCATCTCAGAAGGGACCCTCCCTAGTCTTTTGGAAAGTTTTTTGGAAAGTAAAACTGAAGGAGGGGGAAAGAGCTGTCAGACTTGCAAAATTCTGCTAACGTAACCTTACAAACATAGTATTATTGCTCGCTGTCTGAACTTCCTCAAAATGCTGCCAGTAAGTTCCTGGTTTCAATTTGCCTGGCCGCACCCACCGATTTGACACTGTTCTCTCTTCCTCTTGCCATTCAATCTTTATAATATTTCTGATTTCAGCAGAACCCCTATCTTCTTCAAGTTTGGAGGCTAACAGAATTGGGTAATTGGGCAGCACCTAAATTCAAATAAATAAATATTTGGATGAGGGACCATCAAGGAATTCTTGATTGGAGATTAGATTTGAATGTCAAAAAACCATCCAGAAAGAAGCAAGGGGCAACTAATTTCTCTACTGCTGGGAAACACACTTTATGGCTGTGGCCCCGACATCACCAGAAGTCACATTTGATCCCCCAAAGACCTTCCTTCTACTTAATTCTCAGGGCAAGAGGAGAGGCAGTTATCTACATGCCTATTCAAGGTGCTGTATTGGTATTGACCACTACTGAGCATTTTCAATGGTGGTTTTCCCTCTTCTTTCTTGCATTGCTTTATCTTCACATTTGACCTGGAATCAACAGTCCGTTCACAGTGAATATTTTCACGCAGTCTTCAACCAGACCATCAATTGCAGGAATATAGTCTGGTTATTATATACACTTTACACACATGTGATAATATATATGTGGAGTTTGAAGCCTAAGATATGTGTCATGGGAAAGTCGCACTATATATTGATACAAGGTAAGGTATCAATTAATTGTCCCCACCTTAAATTCCTTAGGTTTGATTATTTTCTTGTCAGCTTGGATTTTGTAAGCATCATCTAGCATCATCCAGGGCCTTACAAACAATTGACCAAGTGTTTTGCAACTCTGAGATCCATTATTTCAAGAAGAGACCACTGAATCCTTTACTGAGGTGACTACTGGATCCTTTAAGAGCTGAGGTGGCGCAGTGGTTAGAATGCAATACTGCAGGCTACTTCAGCTGACCGGTAACTGCAGTTCAGCAGTTCGAATCTCACTGGCTCAAGGTTGACTCAGCATTCCATCCTTCCGAGGTAGGTAAAATGCGTGACCCATCAAAATCGTGGTCCACTAAAGCGCGCCCGATTAAAGCGCGTAGCTGACGTCATCAGCAGCGCGACAANTCATTTAGTGACCAAAGTTAAGTCAAGGACTACTTACACATAGGTCCAGCTGATATTAACAAAGGGAAGTAACATAAGATATAGCGGCAAGGATTGCTCCTCTAAATTCTTATTTATTATAGTAGAAATTTCACCTTTGTTTCATAGAAGTAATTGTATCCACTGATTTGGAAATTGAACCCCTACATTATTAGAGCAGTTTCAAATGCAAAAAGATGCTTTAGACTACATGGGTAAATATGCACTGCTTCCGTTTTTTTAAAAGCTTTAAAGCAAACATTTTCCTGGATCACACAGTTGCTATTTGAAGCTGCCTTACAGTTTCAAGAAAAGTTGAGTATGGTTTAACAAGTTGCAAATAAGTGCTATATACATACCCTTGCATGCTCAAATGCACCTTTTTGCCTTTGAATCCATAGCACTGACAGCTCTAAAATTATTCTCTGTGGTGGTTTACATGTACTAGAAGAAACCTCCATGTTGTTTCCTCATAAAAAGGAAGTACACTTTTTAATTTGTTTTTAATTCTTAATTTTTTTAAATACAAAAACTACCAGGGCGAAGAGATGCATCATTGTCTAGTGTAATAACACTGGCATACAACAGTTCAAACATAGTGTGTATTCATTGTAGAAAGGATTACTGTTGCTTGTCATTTAGCTGAAAAAGGGTGCTAATGTAGAATCTTTTTCCTCACAGTAAATCCAAATGGTGTCAGTCTTGTCAAGAATTATTTTAAACAAATCATTATATAGTATACTGGTAAACACTGAAGGCTTAGCAATATGAAAATAGTACAGCTTGTATAGAACTTACACTTTGTTTCCATCTAATGTCAAGGTAGAATGAGTATTAGTTAATAGGAACCTTGTATTTAGTTAATGGAAATCTTGTTTAATGCCAAATTGCAATGTTGTATTCTTAGCTCCTTGCTCGAATTGAGCGTATGGAAAGGAGGATGCAACTGGCGAAGAAGGACAACGAACGTGAGAAATGCAAAATATTTCAAGGGTATGAAAGAGAGAAGGTTGACCCTGAAGTACCAGAGAAGCTGCCTATTAACTAAATACAAGGTTCCTATTAACTAATACTCATTCTACCTTGACATTAGATGGAAACAAAGTGTAAGTTCTATACAAGCTG